GGAGCAGACAGGATCAGGTGCAGACAGGCAGGCACAGTGGAAGAGGGCAGCCGAGACAGGACGTAGAACTGGAACTTGAAGCTGGACTTTAAACTGGTCTCCTACCTGGAGCCAGGCTTACTGGATAAAAACTGAACCTCCCCACATAATGAGCCAAAACCCAGAGGACTCCGTGGGGGAGGAACAGTGGACGATCAGGAGACGAGACAAACACAAAAACCCTCTATCCACTGGCAGCTAGGATCCAGGACATGAACCAAATAAAATTGGACAGAAAGACAAGCAATGATCTGGCACTGAATGCTCAGGGAGAACTGAATTTAAACCAGAGGAAACAGGTAAGGGGAATAAATTATATTGAGGCAGGGAAGGAAGAGGGCAGGTGAGAGGAATTGCTAATTAGGGAAAGCAAACAGGCCAGATCATGACAGTCTAGGTCCCCAACCTTCACGTAGTTGCTCAGTGGCAGCAACCTTCTTGCAGCAAGAAGGTTGTGGGATCTTTGTGCATGGAGTTTGCATGTTCTCCGTGTGCATGTGTAGGTTGTCTAAATTATCCTTAAGTGTGAGTGTGTGCGTGAATGGTTGTGTGTCAATGGTTGGATTGTGCTGTGATCGATTGGCAACCTGTCCAGGGTGTATAGAGTTTGTAAGATGGGAAATGGACATTACTTTTGAAGTAAAGTCAAATGATATGTGAAAAATCTAATTTGGTTATATTTACATTTCTATACAAACATCAATGCTTTTTAATTTTGTTAAAAGTAAGTATATTAGGTTGGTCCAATGTCGATATATTAGTTTGGTTCATCAACTGAAATGTTCAGAAAATCATTTGGAACAGGGCAAAGATTTTGAGTTGTGTCAAGTGCAGTATTATTGTTTACATCAACATAATATAATCAGGTCATAACAAGTGATTAAATTCAGAGTTTGTGAAGTCAAATATTCTAGATGTGATATCTGGGCATCATTTTCTTTAGTTTGAGCAAGGTTATACTTTTTCCAGTGTAAACGAGGGTGTATTGATTAAGAAGCCAGCTTGGCGACACCAGCCCACTGCGCCAATCTAATGAGGAAATGTGAGAAGTTAAGAGCCTCAATTTCCCAGCTACTAAAGACATCACACATCCATCCACCCCCCACATAAATGAACAGCAAAGAAGGAAATTTGATCCCGACAAAAGGACCCCCTGCGAAGGTAGACATGGTCAATACCATGCAGAGGTCCTACATTTGACCAGAGAAGACGCATCTTACAGGATCTCCTCCATCGTAAAAACATTGATCTTCTGTGTTGTGATTAAACACATTCTGGTCCTTTCACTCTGAAAACCAAGAAGGTAAAAAAAAAAAACAAGCTTCTATCTGATATAGATCTACCGGTACTCAATTTTGATTTATAATGAATAGGGAGAGCTTTCCATTTGTTTCCATATCTAGCATAATAGACTATGGGTGTATTAGGTTGAATACTAATGCTTGTATCCTAGTTTGAAGGTGACAGTAAATTCATTGAGAAGCTTGATGTAAGAATATCTTTATTGAAATTACAGCAAGCTTTGTGGATGAAAAAGGTATAGAGTACTATAACCACATTTGTGTTTTGTTTTGTGTTGTCACTGCCACTGTTACTTTGGGGGTGCTGAACCTTTTTAGGAACCCCTGTGACCATGGTAGAAAGCTACATGACCACAGCAGGCAGAAGGCGCCCACTATCCCCAATTGGAGGTTAAGAGCTATGACAGTCTGAGATCATCAGTCTGACAGAGAGCATCTCTTCTTAAAGAGATGCTTTGATTCTAATACAATTCAATTAAATTCAGTTTATTTATATAGCGCCAATTCAAAACACATGTAATCTCAAGGCATTTTACAATTCAACCAGATCTTACATTCAAATTATTTAAAACTTTTCTATTTAAGGAAAACCAGTTGATTGCATCGATTAATTGACTCGAAAGCAATTCCTCACACCAGCAGAACCAGGCTCAGTGTGAGCGGCCATCTGCCGAGGCCAACTGGGGTTCAAGGAGACAGAAGCAGAGATACAAAAAGCAGCTGTAAACCAGCTCCACAGGCGGCCCCATCCAGGAAACACACAGCCAGGAGGATGAGGTCTGAGCCAGATACCATGTCAGAGGATGAAGAGAGCACATCCAGCCAGTCACGTTCAGAGAAGTAGGACTATCTAATTTGTTTTTCTGACTAACCAACATCTATAAACAAAACTGCTAATGGCAGCAGCACAGCTGATATTTCTCTCCAGGATGGAGTCACGGCCAAACAGGAACAAACCAGATGAAGCTACTATGAGAAAAAGCAGAGAGAGCAGAACATTAGAGATTCAGATTAGAGAACAGATTCTGCAGAATAGGAGAACAGAGATATAATGAAGCAGAATGATGAAATGGGGGTCCCTATGTCCTCCAGAAGTCTAAACCTATAGCAGCATAACTACAGAGATAGCTCAGGATAACCTGAGCCACCCTAACTATAAACTTTATCAAAAAGCAAAGTTTTAATTCTACCCTTAAAAGTAGACAGGGTGTCTGCCTCACGGACTAAAACTGGTAGTTGGTTCCACAGGAGAGGAGCCTGATAACTAAAAGATCTGCCTCCCATTCTACTTTTAGAAATTCTAGGAACCACTAGTAAACCTGCAGATTGAGAGCGAAGTGCTCTGTTAGGAACATAAGGAACAATCAGATCTCTGATATAAGATGGAGCTTGGCCATTTAAGGCTTTATATGTTAGAAGGAGGATTTTAAATTCTATTCTTGATTTACAATGAGGAGGTGGATTAGCTGTGAACTTCTAACTAATCAGATGTTATTATCATTTAGGTGGACAGTTGAGACGTCCATGCATGTCCATAATAACTGTGTGATATGGGGCTAATAATCCATCATCCCAAGATGATGGATTATCACACTAAGTCACACTAAGTCACACTAATAATGGCTGTTTTTCAATATATGTACTTGTGCTTTCTCATGTGCTCGTGTAGTCGTAAAACATCATTAACCTCAGCCCTAGTACTGTTCCAATTCACAAGAACAGCAGGCCAGAATGGACAAAGGTCCTCGATTTTGTTCTCGCCTCTCCCTATTTACCCAGCATGCATCAGAGCAGACTTGCCCATTCTTGAGATTGACAGATGTCCTAGCATGCACCATGGACACAGCAGATTTTAATGGGGCGCTCACAGAGCTCAGAGTATTAAGTTAAACGTTCTCTTTTCTGTTGCTGTTGTTCAATAAAAGTTACCAGTAAATTTTAAGATCATTTGAGGTGAGACCATTATACTTATAGATCACTATATAGCCCATTTACCAATTTCATGCAAAATAAAAAAAAAAATCCGAAGTTGAGAGGACTGAGGACTAATTTATTATTATCTAGAGACCAATAATTACAGGAGGTGAAATGCAGCTCTAGACGAGCATGTGGTGGCGTCACAAGTACGCTTCTGTTCCAATTGACCCATATTTGTGCTGCATGCTCCCGTTCTCCCAGAGTCCAGACTTTCCTGTGTTATTCTCAACAACATACTTGAAGAGGACACGAGTCCATATTCACGTTCTTGTGAATTGAGAAACGGCCAATCTGTCTCTGCTCCAGCTTAAGTTCTAACTTCCTGTCAGTTCAACAGGAGCTTCTGTTGGTATCCAACAATCACCATAAGATCTGTAAATGTATTTCTATAAATTGAAAGCGTTTTTTGTAACAAAGTTATGCATGTATTTGGGATACACAAAAATGTCAAAAAAAAAAAAAATGTTGGCTGGATTCCTTTACAGGTACTATAATTGTCACAATTTGGTTGGAGGTTTTGGTGAGGACCCACATGCAGAGGAAGTGAAGCAGAGGTGAGTTTATTGTAGATTTAATGAGTGGTTCATAAACAACAGAGGCAGTAATCCAAAAATCTAAAAAATCAAACATGAAAAAATGGTAAAACAAACCAGACCCATGGAAACTTCAGGGGAAAACAATCTTGACGAGGTAAGACGAAATAAGACAGAGTTAGATGGAGTTACATGAGGAACCAGAACTGAGGAACTACACCAGGGGAGTATTAATAGACTAAACAAAGAAAGGACTAACAAGCAGATTGGTAGCAGGTGTGAAGAGAGCAGCCTAAGGAGCTAGGAAAAAAGGAAAACACAAGAGGGCAACAGAGGGCAACAAATAAAAACCTGAGGACTAAAATACAACCAGAAAACACAATAAAACAAGAATTAAACCAATAAAACTAGAAAATATGGAGCAAATTAAAACTGAATACTCAAAATAAAACATAACAGAACCAAGACTGTGACAATAATAATTATCGCAAGATGTCTAAAGTCACACTGGGAAAATATCTCTAGCACGTTCCGTGTGAAGATTATCTCATGAAAATAAAAAGCTATTTTCACAGGATGATCTCATTCATTACTTGAACAAAGCTATACATACACATCATATCTAGGCCTGATTACCTGCTAATCAGAAGAATCAAGAAGAAACTCTATAGAACCCATCGGACAACATGAAGTAGGATAGAAATCTCCAATAGCAACAGATAAGGCCTGGATCTGAAGAGGTTTAGGAGGAGATGAGAAACAAACTCACTGACATCTACCAGTCTGGAAAAGACTACAAAGACCAAAGGAACCAAGAAGCTGAACAGAACTACATCAACATGAATGTCAATTTAAAACATCCAAGTAGTTTCCTGTGTGACTCTGATGTCTCTAGTTTTATTGGATCAACTGATTCTACATGTTCTGGCTGGAACCTGCAGACTGAAAACATGGAAACAGAAATATTTAGACCCCTAAAACAGAGTTCTGTATGTTTGTACATTAGAAACTAAAGAGTTTAGAACTTTCTTTGATGGTCAGACTGTCAGCAGGAGCCTGCTGCAGGTTAATAATTGAAAATGTTGAAGTCATATAAAGATATAGCAGCTGATCTTTCCCCTAAAGCTGGAATATAAAGTCTGCTGTCAGAGTAACAGCAGCTTTCAGACTCAGAGCAATGACAGAGGAGAGGAAGTCCAGGAGTTTCTCTTCTTCTACACAGACCTGGTCTAGACAGCAGAACTGAGGAGGGAAGCATGGGAAGACGATGAGTGAGTCCATCTTTGTTCCTTCAAATTTCCAAGCCAAGATTTAGTCTCCTGATGAGACTTGAGCCTGATCCCATCAGATTGTAGAGCAGCAGGCTCTGAGTGAATGTTGAGGAGCTGTAGGTTGTTCCCAGCATGAATCCCACTCTACATTTCCCACTCTGCGGCATTTTTTTCTTAAAATTAGTTCATTTGTTCTTGGATTGAGGAGTTAAAAGAGACATTTTGCCAATAGAACAAGAATATTAACACTTACAATAAGAAAAGACAATTACATTGTCTTATTTCAAGTGCATATTATCTAATGATCTTATTTTAAGTGTAAAAATACTCATTCCATTGGCAAACTATCTCATTTACCTGCTCAAATTAAGGGTAAATACACTTAATCTAAGACATTTTTACTTATTTCAAGATCGTTTTTCCAGTGAACAGACCAACTCTGACTGTAATATTCTGTTTATCTCTGGTAAAACTCGACTAGAGTTCTGACATCAGGCCCTGGTTCTGGAGGGGACTCGATACTACTATTGATATTTAACTGGTTTTATGGCAGATCAGAGTTCATGGGTGTTTGGAGCCAGTTGGTAAAAGTCCAATAATGCTGACTCACCAGTCTGAGACTGCAGAGGGATTTCCATGGATAAGATTTGACAGAGAGCAGTGAACGCCCCCCTGTTGATCAGTGCTGTTGATCAGTGTTGATGTTCAGCTGATTGACAAGTGTTTCCTCCTCAGATGAAGGTGGAAGGTGTGTGAGCTGATGTGAAGTGAGCAGCATGGATCAGTGTGAGGACAGAGAGGACAGAGTCCCTCCCTCTAAAACCACTCTGGGTGGAGAACATGAGGACCAGAGCAAAGATCAGAGGTCAGATCACCATCTTTAACTGTCCAGGACTCTTCTCCATGTCAGAACTCGGCTTGAACATCACCAAACCATCTTTATTCACAGGAAACCAGCAGAACCAGAACCTGATTCTGGAGCAGAATCTGATTCCTCTTGTGAATCCTTTAAAAGTGCTTTTTCAGAGATCAGTGCTTTTTCAGAGATCAGATCAGATTCAACCCAAAATTCATGTACTGAAAGGTAAACTGGATCTACATATTTTGTATAAAATCTTCTAAACTAATAATTAAATTAAAAGGGTCAGATGTCTTTCTTTATTCATAGGAAGCAAACAGAACCAGAACCTGGACCAGAACCCAGCTGTGTGTCCTTAAAGAGCAATGATTCAAAGGAGGATCCTATTGATTTTAAATCAGAAGAACCTTCATCAGCAAACAGGTGAGCTGTTTCTAAATGTTCCACTAACTAGTTTGAACTAACTTCTTTCCAACGTATTTATGTGAACACAACTCTTTCTCTCACACGACTTCACATATGAAGCAGTGAGTGATGGAGGCTAAATAATGGAAATAATCAAAAGATTGTTTGATTGCAGTGGTATGAAATGATCTTATTAGATGATATTGGGGCTAAAATCAGTTGTTCTTCCATCCAATTGAATCTTTCTGGATCAACTTGTGTCACATTAGTGAACCAGAGTTGGTGCTTCTGCAGAGCTTAAGGTGATGCACATGTAGGCAAGTCATGATGATGATTCAACTATAAGATGGAAACTAAATCATCCAAACTAAATCTGATGGAAAACATGATCTCTCACTGTTATCTGCAAACATCAGTGAAATCAGCAGCTTCTAAAGTTAATCTGTGTTCATTCAAAATGATCTTCAGTCTGATTATTAGCAAACTGCTCCACAGTCTCCTTCAGCAGCCGCTACATGTCATGAGAAATACATGATCATTGACCTGCTGCTGGGAGGAAGTTTGATGATAATAAAAAGATGAATCTTTGATGGGAAATTTAGTATTGGTTACTACATTAATGAAAGGTCCTTGAATGCACCACCATGGCCTGTATTAAGATAAACAACTGAACAGAAGCTAAGAAATGATCAGCTGAGAATAAAACTGCTGCTCTAAAGGGATTTAATCATCAGTGTGAGACTAGAACAAGTAAAACAAACAACTAGAAGATAAATGAACTTGTTTCTCCATCAGCAGTTCTGACCCTGATCCAAAGGAAGGAAGTTTGTCAGGATAGAAGATCAGAACACATAAAACACTGTTCTACATCCAGACTTTCTGATTATTCTTCAGTTCCTGCTAACAAAACCAAACATTATCGCTTATCAATTATCATCAGAGCTAATTATTAATCCATCATTAATATACTGTTTACATGGAAACCTGGACATTTTGGATCCACTTTAAGCTAGAGCCACCGTGGGAAACTTTAGCATTCTTGGCTTCACTGTTTAACTTTAAATACATAATTTCCTTCATGATCCAACAGAACCTCAAACTAGAACCCAGCTATGGTTCCTTTTCAATGGATAAATCTGTTTATTTTAAATCAGATCAACCTTTAGCTGCAATAGGTGACCTCTTTCTACACGTTAAATCTTTATGAAACCAAACTGAATCAGTTTGAAATGTTTGATTCCACATTTTTATTCCTTTTAATGAAACAGTTTGTTATTGGCTATTTACACTAGTTCGGTCTCCGGTGAGTTCAGGGTAAAGATTTGTGGTGTTTCTAAGTGTCTGTAGTTCCCCTGTTGGTCCAGCAGGGGTCAGGTTGATTTCAGCTAAAGCCAGAATTCAGGTAAAACATTTTACGCAAATAGTCTGAGCCAGGCAGAATATATTTTTCCCAGTTCAGACTCTAGAGGCTTGAGTTGTTGAAACACCTAAACCTAAGGATCTCTGAGAAATCAGCCATGTTTTAATACAGTTACCATGGAAACTCAAACTCACTTCAGGTAGGAGTTTCCCCTCTGGTGACAGGTTTTCCCATTTACCGCTTTTAGAGCAGGACACTACAAGGACCTAGGACTTTGTCTGTTTGTTGTTCTACAGAATGTGAGTTAATGATTCCTGGTTCCTCCACAGATTGGATCAGCAGAACTCAGTGGTTTCCAGTGGTCCATCTGGCCAGCAGCATCAAACCCAGCTGGACTCCATATTTATGGTCTGTACATGTACTACAACTACTTCTCCATGGGCTCTGTTCACAGTTATCTCAATGCTGCACTTTGTAGACCTGAGGACTGTCAATCTGTCCAACATGGATTTGATGTTTGGCTCCATGATCTCAGTCTGATATGTCCTTCATTTATTGTTCTGTTCCAGCTGCTGGAGGAAAACATTGTAAGTTTTGTGAAGAATGAGCTAAAGAAGATCCAGAAGGTTCTGAGTTCAGATGACCCAGAATGCTTAGAGAATCAGTGGGTGAATGAGGAGGTGTTAGAAGGTGAGGATGAAGAGCAGAGGAGGAGAAGCAGAGAAGCTTTGGTGAAGATCACCCTGAACTTCCTAAGGAGGATGAAGCAGGAGGAGCTGGCTGAACGTCTGCAGAGCAGTAAGAGGATTTCTAGAAAGATTTAACCTAATGGATAAATTATGAATTTATTCCAGTCAGAGGAACAAGAAGAACAGATTTATTGATATTATTAGTTTCAATGCTAATGAATTATTTTTTTTTTTTGTCTTTCAGAGCTTTTTGCCCCATTCTCTCCATATAACCTTAAATCCAGTCTGAAGAAGAAGTTCCAGTCTGTGTTTCAGGAACTTGCTAAAGCAGGAAGTCCAACCCTTCTGAACCAGATCTACACAGAGCTCTACATCACAGAGGAAGGGACTGGCGGGATCAGAGATGAACATGAGGTCAGACAGACTGAAATCGCATCCAGGAAACCAACCAGACCAGAAACAACAATCAGACAAGAAGACATCTTTAAAGTTTCCCCTGGAAGAGATCAACCAATCAGAACAGTGATGACAAAGGGAGTGGCTGGCATTGGGAAAACAGTCTTAACACAGAAGTTCACTCTGGACTGGGCTGAAGGCAAAGCCCACCAGAACATCCAGTTTATATTTCCTTTCACCTTCAGAGAGCTCAATGTGCTAAAAGAGAAAAAGTTCAGCTTGGTGGAACTAGTTCATCACTTCTTTACTGAAACCAAAGGAATCTGCAGCTTTGATCACTTCCAGGTTCTGTTCATCTTTGATGGTCTGGATAAGAGTCGACTTCCTCTGGACTTCAAGAACAAGGAAATCCTGACTGATGTTACAGAGTCCACCTCAGTGGATGTTCTGCTGACAAACCTCATCAGGGGGGAACTGCTTCCCTCTGCTCTCCTCTGGATAACCACACGACCAGCAGCAGCCAATCAGATCCCTCCTGAGTGTGTTGACATGGTGACAGAGGTCAGAGGGTTCACTGACCCACAGAAGGAGGAGTACTTCAGGAAGAGATTCAGAGATGAGGAGCAGGCCAGCAGGATCATCTCCCACATCAAGACATCTAGAAGCATCCAGATAATGTGCCACGTTCCAGTCTTCTGCTGGATCACTGCTACGGTTCTGGAGGATGTGTTGGAGACCAGAGAGGAAGGAGAGCTGCCCAGCACCCTGACTGAGATGTACATCCACTTCATGGTGGTTCAAACCAAAGTGAAGCAGGTCAAGTATGATGGAGGAGCTGAGACAGATCCCCACTGGAGTCCAGAGAGCAGGAAGATGATTAAGTCTCTGGGAAAACTGGCTTTTTATCAACTGCAGAAAGGAAACCTGATCTTCTATGAATCTGACCTGAAAGAGTGTGGCATCGATATCAGAGCAGCCTCAGTTTACTCAGGAGTGTTCACACAGATCTTTAAAGAGGAGAGAGGGCTGTACCAGAACCAGAACAAGGTGTTCTGCTTTGTCCATCTGAGTGTTCAGGAGTTTCTGGCTGCTCTTTATGTCCATCTGACCTTCATCAAATATGGAGTCAATCTGATGGAAGAAAGCCAACATATTCCAGTTGGGTCTGAAATGATTTACAACCCACATCTAACATATCTCCATCAGAGTGCCGTGGACAAGGCCTTACGGAGTCCAAATGGACACCTGGACTTGTTCCTTAGGTTCCTCCTGGGTCTTTCTACTGATACCAGTAAGACTCTCCTACAAGGTCTGATGACAAAGACAGGAGGTAGCTCAATGAGCAATCAGAAGACAGTTCAGTACATCAAGGAGAAGATCAAAGATAATCTGTCTGCAGAGAAAAGCATCATCCTGTTCCACTGTCTGAATGAACTAAATGATCGTTCTCTGGTCCAAGAGATCCAACAATCTCTGAGATCCACAGATAAACTGTCTCCTGCTCAGTGGTTAGCTCTGGCCTTCATCTTAGTGACATCAGGAGAAGATCTGGATGTGTTTGACCTGAAGAAATACTCTGCTTCAGAGGAGGCTCTTCTCAGGCTGCTGCCAGTGGTCAAAGCTTCAAACAAAGTTCTGTAAGTATTGACAGAATTTGGGTTTGGACACCAAGTGCTAAAACCAGGAAAGAGAGACTTTTATCGTGGTCAAATAAATCTTTGACTTACAGTTTTAAAAAAAAATGTTTTATAGAAATAAGTACTAATCAAATTGATGATCTAAAAGACCCAAATAAGCTTTTTAATATGGGCATGAAATTATATTTCTCATGAATGCTGTTGGTGAGACAAAAAGTATTTTTTTTATTTGTTCACCCCTGAAAGAGATGAAAAACAATTGCAGACTAAAATACTTTAAAAAATATTTTGCTCAGCCTTGAAAGGAAAGGAAGAAACTGACCGCTAATTATCTAATTGGTTGCAATTGCAATAAAACTAACCCTGGAGTAAAACTACAAGCATTTACTAAGATATGATTATGATCTATGATTCAAGCAAATGGGCAAAGGGTGGGTTCTGAAATGTCCAAGTTTCCCATTCAAATTAGTTTGGTTTACATAAACAAAATACATTTTTAGTACATAAACTGTGTTTTCACTTCTAACTTTACTTTATTTAATGCAGTATGGAGGATCAATATTTCCAAAAAATACATAAGAAAATATATAAAAGATTCATTACTGTTATCAACGGGTAAAATAATAGCTTAAATTTTAGTAAGTCAGTGAATGCTAAAAACTGGTCGAAATTGATTGTTTGACTTATTGATCTCACAGTGTAGAAAGGTACTCATTAAATGAAATATATATTCAAATAT